CCCTGGTGCGGTTCGAGCGTCTGCGTCCCGCACGCCACGCACCGAGGCAGCAAACGGGCCTGCTCACGCCCTGGTGCAGGTCGAGTGTCGGCGCCACGCACCGAGGCAGCAAATGGGCCCGCTCACGCCCTGGTGCAGTTCGAGCGTCTGCGTCCCGCACACCACGCACCAAGGCAGCAAACGGGCCCGCTCACGCCCTGGTGCAGTTCGAGCGTCTGCGTCCCGCACGCCACGCACCGAGGCAGTAAACGGGCCTGCTCACGCCCTGGTGCGGTTCGAGTGTCGGCGCCACGCACCGAGGCAGCAAACTGGCCGATGCACGCCCTGGTGCAGTTCGAGCATCGGTGTCCCGCATGTCACGCAGCGAGGCAGAGAACGACATATTTTAACCATTGTCAAACCAACCCACACATTAAACCAAACTTGCTACACCATCTCCCAAACTACTTCCTGACAGGAATCTCCACCCAAGGCTTGCCTATTGCTGCGATCTTTGCGCCCCATTCAGCGGCGCGAACTTGGCCTGCCCAGGGGCGGAATGATTGCAACTTCATAACGCGTGAATCTATGGAACATCAGCCCCTGTGAAGCACTCAGTGTATCGCAGGCACTCACATTCGCTTTCTGCATCATGCAGCGACTGCTCAGCTCTCCCGAGCTTGATACCAGCTGCAGCCACATCCTCAACACTGTGTTTGTGGGCGGCAATGCATTTCACCAGTGCGTTATCCCTTTCACCCATCCCAATTTTGAAGGATGCTATGGTGCGGTCTGTTTCGACTTTGAGCGCCACCTTGCAGTGGGCGACAGCGTTCTTGAAGGCGACAATCTTGCGCTGACGGGTGACCATGGTGTATTCGAGGATGAACTTCCCTGCGATGCCGTCTAACATGGATATGTCCTCCATGTGTTCAAAGAACATGTTGAACTGTGTGTCGCAAACACAGTCGGCATCGCACACATGGGTGCCCGAGTACTACCACAGTAGTTAGCAAACAACAGATCAACAAGATCAGCTGGCTTACTATTGTCATCTTCATGCCCAGCAGCCACTGCATCAGCTCGTCCTCGTTATCGTCTTTTCTCCAAGGTTGATTTGCTAGGATAGCATCGACGAACTGCTGGAACTCAGGATATTGATAGATGGTCTGTTTATCCTGTAAATCGGCCATCATGCCTGTAAAAGCACTTCAATGATGAGGGAATCATTGTAAAGCAGAAGACCTACCGAATTGTGAGCTGTGAATGTGTAGTGGAGCAGAAACAAGGGCGACGACAAGATGCTGAGGTGGCATGCCAGCATGGACCTCGGCGAATGCCGACAGAGCACAGCCACGTGCTCGGCCCGGTTTTGAGGCCGAGAAGACCGGGCAGCTGCCGGTCCTCGTCCTCGTTCCTGCTCTCTCTGTTGTACTCTCTGCTTTGCTCTGCCACTCTCTCTCAGGTCTCTGCACACGCGCTCTGCGTTTCGCGCCGCAACAAGATGTTTAAACTCTGCGTCAAGGGGAGGTCTTTATTAAGGTGGGGTGGTCTGTAAGCCTGCGTAATGCCATTCCTGTGCACCGCTAACAAGCTCGTACATCTACAGGGCCATGAGGATGTGCAAGGACACAGTTTTCAAAGCAAGGTACGTACCGGGACAGTCCGCATCATGTAGATCCCGCCACTGATGCTTTCGCATGCGCAGTGCGTCGTATACCGCGCGGAGATGCCTCTAACCCGCACCCATGTCATCCTCCCGCGTATGGGCTCCTCCTGACAGGTTCGCACTTGCAGCCGGCCGCGTGCGGTGTCGCGACGCCTGCGGCGAAGGTGAATCCGCGCACATGCCGCTCGTGCACGTCTAACGAAACCCTGCAAATGCGAAACGGTCAGGATCGCAGAGGATGCGATGCTCGGCGCGAGGTATGCGCTGATTTGGTCCTCGTCGGGTACGGGCCACCGCTGACGAGTCCGTGCTTCCAGGCAGCTGCATACCACATCTAGACGCCTGTGGAGGTGCACAAGCACAGTGAGTGTCAGTCGTCTCGCGTCGAGAGTGCCCTGCTGACTCACGGGATTGACAGGCTCACACCGCGAGGTTGACGAAGCCCCGGCCAGTCTTGACGGCATGTACAAGGATGGGTATGAGCTGGGAGAGAGCAGGAGGGCGGCAGAGACGTACCGTAGTCGTACATAGTAGACAGGCGTAGTAGAACGATGCGCGTTTGCGAACCGCTGCATCAATCGACACAATTCCTTCGCGTCTTGAGAGAGCCAGCCGCCCTCTCTCGATCTGTGGCGATTTCGCAGAGGTTCAGTAAGCCCGTTGGGCTTCCCGGGGCCACATCACCGCGTCCCGCGCGACGGGCATGCGTGTCCGGGCCTGAAAACCGCGTTTCTGGACTTCCATGGAGGTCAGCATCGCATGTTATATTAGTGGCTCGGCCGCAGACGCACCCGTGGAAGAGCTGTCCAAGACGACGGCGGGTGGGCGCCTATGGGGGTGAGGAAGTCGGCGGGGAGATGGCGCGATTTCCCGCGCTTTGAGGGTGTCTATAGGAGCTTGAAACGTACAAGGTGTCGTACAGGGCGAGGGTGAGTAGCCTGGGTGGTGTGGGGGTGGTGAGGGACGAGGTGAGAGCCGAGGAGCATCACCGGGCCAGCGAGGGCTGCAGGGACGTCCCAGACGTCGTCTTGTGGACGATGAAGGTCGCTGGGAGTCGAAAAAGCGGTCTTCAGGTGCTCTAGGTGCACAGAGCGCGAGACAGACCTAGAATCGTGCATGAGGGCCGTTGAGGAGAGTCTCTTTCGAAGGGAGTCACCTCGAGCGATATCGCAATGTTCCCGGGTGTACGGCGGTCTTGCATGGTGGGATAAGAGTCTCTGGATGTCGTCTAGGTGTTTTCCCAGTAGCTGAGCGGTCCACAGTGCACAAGACGGTGTTGGGATGCTCGCAGACGGCCAAGAGTCCCCAGATTGAGTCCCTGTCGAGGGGCGAGCGTGAAGGGCAAAGCAGAGAGCAAAAACGAGTCCAAAATCGGCCATGGAATCTCCAAGGACATAGATAGAATCTCCTAGCAGCAGACTGAATGACCCAGGGCCGCTGAGTGTCGCCCAGAGTGGCGTGTGAGGTACAAGCGCGTACATGCCGTCCCTAACGAGCCTTCTGACAGGGCGGACGGAGTCTGGAGAGCACGCAGGTCAGAAAGCAAGCGGGCAGTCGAAGGAACGCAGGGCTCACATGCGTTAATTGCCCGTCGACAGATTGACGGACTTTGGGGGAGGAGCAGCCTGAGGCGGACGTCAAATGGCGGCAGAGCGAGCACGATCTAGTGTCACGTGGGGCACGATAGGCGCGCATCGACCCGTTCTCCCAGGTGGCTCTCTCTGCTTTCCTCTGCTCTCGCGCTCTCTTCGACGAATCGCAGTCACTGCTGGCGCATTTCTGGTGCTGCTCTACTAATTGACACCTCTCTCACCATGCCCGCCTCCCTTGTCCGTCCGCCACCCCTGCTTATCTACCCGACTCCCCCGCTTGCTTGATCTTGTGGATCCTCGTCCACATCAGCCATCCACAGCAAACGACTCCGTGAACGTACTCACCAAGTCCTCTCCCTCCCCCGAGTCCGGCTCTTGTGCTCGGGTCTCCAGTCGAAAACTCCAGTGGGAAACCTCGCGCTGTCCCTGGCAGCTACAGGTAACTTTCGTCCACATACTGAAGATCCTGTGCTCATCTGGTGGGTTTGTTCAGGAAAGGCGCCACGCGTGTACGCTCATGGGAACTCGATATCACTCGTGTACGATGCCCGACAGGGACTCCTTCTCCGCGGCCCACATCAAACGGCATATAATGCCTGTGAAGTGCACACGAACACTCTCGCGCCGCGCCCGGGACTCGCAGGCACACTGGCGCCACGTCGATAGCGTTTGCGGTACGTGGGAGACGCCTCGCGAGCCGTCTCGACCTGCGCGATGGACTCAATACTGATGGCAGTGTCAGACCACGCCGTCGAGCTCATATAGCAACATCAACGTACCCTTGAACACCGCCCGTCCTGGCTCAAACGCCGCGTGGTGACGCCTGTCGCACTTCACGCCCGCAAGAAGGTCAGTACACGTTCATTTCGAGTATTTGGAGGGCGGTTTCGCTGATTTGAACCTCCAGATGCACGTCCTCCGGCGTCTCGTGCGCCCAGATATTGACACAGAGCCTGCCGGGACACTGTGAAGGCCGTTTCGACGGCCCAGGACACACCCACACAGCATCGTACTCACGTCGCGCGGCGGGCGAGAGCCATGACGGCACGAGGAGGGCGGGAGCATAAATTGCGGCCATCCCATCGTGCCTGCATCGCGGGAATGGCGACTCGACGTCGCAGAGGACGCCATGGGAGCCAGCTCGTGCTGCGGAAAGATCGTGCGAAATGATCGCCGACGCTGGTGGGAGTGTCTGGGAGTCAGATCACCTGCTAGCGGTTATGTGAACGAGATGTACACTTCGACACCATGGAGGTAAGCCCGCGATCTGCCCGCCTTCGACTCGTATTCACCAACCCTTGCCAGCGCTTGCGTCCTGACTTTGTCAAAAGCGTCCACCGTCAAGATTCATCTAGCAGACTTAGGTAAGTCTGGGCTGATATCGTGCTCGTGAGCAGGTACAGCTACAACCGGAAGCTCCTAGATCGGCACATGGACGTCCTTCGTGTGGCGGACACACCGGACTGGCGGACACGTCCCAAGGGGCCCAGTCTCACCCTTCCCCGCGCGCGCACACAGCTCCCACGCGACAAGATCGCAGCGAGCACTGGTGCCCCGCGTCGCGGATAGAAGCCTGCTTCGGCACGCGGTGGACAAGCCCTCGGAGACGACAAATCAACAAGAGCACGAGATGAGTCAGACTCGCGCGGCGGCGGAGACGCAAGGCCACGTACCTCGTCGACACCAGGCAAGTCCGCAGCTCGCGTCCTGTCCCGAGTCGTGCTCATAACCCCGCCTGTAGCGCTTGCAATCCGCGGTCTCTTGCGCCGGTTGGTCGCCGTGAAGGCCGGTCCGCGCCCACGTTGCAGGCGCGGAAAGACCGCGCAGAGACGAGCACTCGATGCTCGCGGGAGAGGGCGACTGTGGCCGGGAGTCAGCTCGTGAAATAGCGGCCACGCGAACAAGACGTACGCGTCAATACTACCGAGGTAGGGTCCCAATTGTCTTCGCATCGACTCATGCTCACTGCCCTTCTGCCAGCGCCTGTGTGTCGACTTCGGCAGACGATGTTTGCCTCGGGAATCTGCAACTCATTCGTAAGCTTGTTCTGGTGCCCACGAGCAGCGAGGATTCCGAGCTCAGGTCGATTTCGCAGATCTTGCAACGTTGCGGAGTGCTCCCGCACACCCACCCATCTCCGTATGACAAGACCACAACGGAATACGACACGCCGGCGTCCCGAGTCATGCATTAAAGGCTTCCTCTGCGCGGACAGAGCGCTCGAGAAGGCCGGTCTCCGCGAGTGGGAAACTGGTCGTGGATGTCAAGACTCGCACATCCACGGCGATACGAGCGAGCAGCGTACCTCGTCGACCCCAAACAGGTCCGTTCCCCATGTCTTGCCCTCGCCCCGTGCTCATGTCTCCTCCTGTAGAGCTCGTAATCCCGCCTCAATGGTGCCTGGCCGCCCTCGTGAAGCTACACACATTCACAACAGGTAAGTCTGCATCCACTCACCGCGAGCATGCCCGAAAACTTACCTCGACGCAGATCCCTTCTCTTCACACCCAAACCTTCGCGGAAGGCAGCGAATCCGCCGCATGCATCGGACGTCGCGAACCGGGCCTCCCGCCGCCTTGCACGGCCGCGATCGCACTCGTACGCGTGTGCGTCGCGGAGCACCTCGACGCCTCCGGCCAGGGCCTCCAGGGCGCGAGGAAACAAGTTGGATGGGCGCGGAACACGTCGGCGCGCGTGGGGCTTTGATAGCGGGGCCGGAGACGTCGGGATGTAGATGGCCCCACGCCAGGAGGAGGACTCGTGGCTGTGGCGGCGACGAAGGGTGGCGGGCACGTCTGGGGAGTGTATAGCATGTCAGGAATCATGTTTGAGATCGCCGTCGAGGATGTGGACGTACCTACAGCGCGACTTCACGCACACTTGTATCGGCGCGAGGAGGGTCTTTGAGGGCGACATCGAGAGGTTGTACGGGCGCGCGGTGTGAAGCACGAGCGGTGGACGAGTTGACGGCTCGTTTTGACGTGTTTCGAGCACTATGCGGGCTTCGTATTGCGGCGTGTCGAGAGGGGAAGGGGTGTTCACAGCGGGGGATGCGGCCTGCATCACATGCAGACACTAGGACGTGCGGAGTGTCAGCAAGTGTCGACAGAATGGCAGCCGGACCCACGCCTGCCCGCTCGCACCAGCCTCTCTTGCAATTGGCCCGCACCCCCTCCGCGGCGGACAGCCCCCAGACTCGTGTCCCCCGCCCGCATCCGCACCCGCTGCGCACCATCAAGTGCGGCCGTGGTGTCCCCGAGCCCACGTCCAGAATCCAGATCGACGGTGCCCGTGTCTGCGTTTGGGTGCGGCTGCGCGACTCGACGGCGGGCACGAAAGCAAAAGCGGCGGGGCGGGCGCGGATCGGACATATGGGGCTCGAGATCCGAGCCATCGAGCCGATGCTGCAATATATTTTGTTTGGCACCCAGATCGTGCACCCAATATATTTCGTTCGTGAAGGCACTTGTGTGCATTTGTGGGCACGCGGATGCGTGGACTTGGCGGTGGCAGCGGATGGAAGGCGGTGGGCCGGGTGGGGTGTGTGTTAGCGAGGACTGGCTGCAAGGAGATTACTGGACTCTGTGCATGCAGTGGGGTCTTATGGATTGTGGAGTTCTATAGGGACAGGGAGACTTAGGCAGGGGGACTCAGGAGGGGCACTCAAGGGGCACTGGACTCAAAGTCCAAAATGCGCACTTTCACCGGGAAAATCGCATCGTATTTGTAGGTGTTGTACCTGTACTCTACAGGGTGGAAATCCCAGGTGGCGGTGACGAAGACTACAAGCTACGGAGGGGAAACATGTCATGGGGGCACCCCAGCTCAAATGCCTCCAGGGAGCTCAAAACACCGCCGAATCGCACCATTTGACGTGCGCCGTGTTGTACCGTGTCACGGGCACCATGTCCACGCCGCGTCGTCGCCAAAACCGCGCTGTTTTCGCGATGACGCGGCGTGGATAGCCCGCGGGAGCCATGTACTGCCCGCCTCTCCCCTCGCGCGCCGCGCAGGCATCCTGGCGCGTTGAGCTTGCGTACGCCTGTAGCCCAGCGCCCGCCTGTGCTGTAGAGCAGTCCTCGGCACTGCTGGGCAGCCGCACACTCGCGGAATCGCGGGCGGGAGCGTCCGGGGCCCGGGGACTGGCTGTGGGGGCAAGTCCGATGCTGGAGGGCGTGTCCGTGGTCGTATTGCGCCGGAATCGCGCGTGCTAGTGGCTGTTCGTCTTCCCGTACTCGTGGGAGCTGCTGAATGCGCCGGCGGCGTCACGTTCTTGCAAAATCGACCAAGGGAGACTTCAGGGCTGGCTGCAAGAGCTTTTGTGCACGTTGCAGTGGCCTTATCGCCCCAAAATCGCCCACAGGCGGTTCCCTGAGCGTCCTGAACGCGGACGCGTCAATTCCAGGTCGCGAGGCCGAGAGGGAGGGTGTCGGGAGCCCTGGAGCTAGCTGCAAGCCCAGACCAGCACAGACCGCCCAGGACGCACCGTGGGACGCTGGAATCGTGCGCAGAGCTTCCTGAGTGTTGTGGGGGACCAGGGGAGGCTGCGAGACTTGGCTGTGCGGCTGCAAACTTGTGGAATCGTGATTGAAAGAGTCAGGAGTCCGGGATTGGCCGTGGGAGCGGAGGTGTTCCTAGGGCAGCGAGAAGGCCAGCTGGGGCGCCAAAAATGCGCGTACTGGGTCTCCAGAGTAATATAGTACCGTAGAGTGCGCGTCGCGCAGCAGCGACACCGCATTGTGGCGGTTTTGAGAGAGAGGACAGCGGGAAGTGTGGGGCGCCAAATCCTCTGCCGAGGGTGTCGCAGAAGGCTGAAGGCACCGAAATTGCGCGAAGATCTCACCAATGTTCGTACGGGACCGGTAGAGCCCGAATCGCGTGGTTGTGCGGCCGCGAACTTGCAGATTCGCGATCAGGAGACTCGGGGCTGCGGTGGGAGCAGAGTCGGGCATCGGGCCGCAAGCAGGAAGGCGGGGGCACAAAAAACGCGTATATGGGGAGTCGCATGTCATATGATACCGTAGAGTACGCGTCGGACGGCTGCAACACCGCGTTGTGGTGGAATCCAGAGGGAGGGTGGCGAGAGCCCAGGATCTGCCTGTGGGCGCCGAATCCTCTGCCGAGCACGGTGTAAGCGTCATGATGTGCCAAAATCGCGTACACGAGAAGTCCAAAGTCGTACCATACTCATGGAGGTGCGAAACGCGGCTACAACTCCGCGAAATCGCGAAATCGCGAGGAAGAGCGTACCGGGCGCCCTCAGAGTGTGTTCACCCTCCACACCCCCCCAGATGCTCGTATCGCCCCAAAACTGCGCGTTGTCCCCACCAAGTAGGCTAAAAAATATGCGTGCGCTGATTCGAGGCTGAACACGGGTTTTGAGGCTGTCGGAAAGCCGTACAAGTCGACGCGGGGACGGCGCACAAATAGGCGCCTATCCAGCCCGCTGAACGCGGTCGTGTTTGCCGAGAGTTCTGGGGAGGTTGTGGGGTGCCTCAATTGTGCACATAGATAGACAGGAGTCTGTAGTATGGTAGAGAGCGCCAGGAAGGGGCGGTGTGGTCGTTCCGTGGTGAAATCGAGAGGGTTTATGTCGCAGGGTAGGGACAGGCCAAGTCCACCACCGGGCCGTTCGCGGGAGTCATGTGGCGCTTGGATCGCATAGACTCAAGGGTTGTCCCGTGTGTGTGATGAAAGTGAATCGCGGGAGAGGCCCTTGTCGCGGCGCGACGAAGAAGAGACGGCGGGTTTGAGTGCGACCACGCGAGCTGGTCAGTGCACACCATGTGGACGCGCATCGTTTGTAGTGGGGGCGTGGTGTCGTGCTCGAGCCTGCGAACTGACCGTTTCTGCATTCATTGCAAAGCCTCCGGTGGCGTCGACGCGAGAGTTTGAGCGTGCGCTAGGCGTCGCCTCTCGTCTGTGCACACCTACTCGAAGGCAGTTCTGTCCTGTGCGAGCTGAGTTGACGAGTACGAGTGCAAGCGAATGGCGATGACGGACGAGGCGTGGGGCACTCCTGTACATAGCTAGCGTGTATGTGAGCTTCAGAATATCTCTCTGCGCTGGGTGTGCATCTACCTTGTTTTCGTGCACTTCACGCCGCGCCCGCCCGCACTCGTGCTCCCCGCGCGAACAGAGCTCTACCACCTTACTGCCCTCCCCACTCCCATAGTTACAATTTATTTCCCCAGCCTCGCACAGATCAGGCACCCGCTTGTCCACCCGCCGCCGCCGCCGTGGAGTCCGAGTCCGAGTCCACGCCCCCGTCTCACAGACGCCCTCGCGCGCGCCCACCCACACCCCGCGCGCCCTCACCCGCGCACATGCACATGCGTACGCACACCGTGTCTGTCCCGCGCAACCGTCTAGTTAGCGTCGGAGCGTACTCGACATACCTCACACCCGCCCCACCGCCCGCATGCGCGCCCACGCCCAGCGTTGTCGCCTGTCGCCTCGCTGCTCGAGCTGGGGTGATAAGACCCTCCGTGGTGGGGTTTACGCGCTGCGACTTGTCGCCAGCGTGGGTAGGACCAAGATTAGGACTAAGATTAGGAGGGATTGGCAGCGCGTTGAAGTTGAACTGGGAGTTGTTGGGTATCTGCGGTATCCCGTGAATGGTAGCCGGTCGGATGAGTTGATTCTGGAAGCTCATGAACATCGGGTTGTCCAATGCCATCTGTGAGCGACCTGCGGAGGTTTGGGAAGCGAGCTGGGGCATGTTGGGCTGCTGCTGACCTCCGATATGGGGCGAAGTACCGAGCTGCCCCTGCTGGTGCTGAGGGGATAACCGGGGTTCGGCGCATCAGGCTGACCGCCCGCGCGGCGGGGAGAGCGAGGGACGGCTCGACGGGCCGACTAGAGTCTGTATGGCGGGCGCGCGCCTGGGTTAAGGTTGCATTGTCGCTGGGATTGCGCATGCACTTAGATCTCCTCTCTCTCTACCGCGTCGCTCTAATGGCCTCTGGCCGTCTCTGCTTCTTGACGGTCTGCGGCTGCCTCGCAGCGTGTCTCAGCGTCTCGGCCGCGCTGCCTGCCTGCTCTGTGATCGAAGTGAGTCCGCGTTCCTGCGAGCCCGCGCACGCGCTCTGACCTCCGTGCACTCCAGGCTCCTCATCCTCCCGCTCCATCCGTGTGTGGACGCTCTAACTTTCACTGTCTGCCGTATCTGTCACCAGCCGTCGCGGTCTCAGAACGTCTCATCGAGCCTCTGTGCTCGTGTTTGCTCTCGCCGTGTCCTCAGCTCGCTTTCGCGTCAACTCTGGCCGGCCTCGCCCTCTTCTCTCCGGTCCCAAACCCTCTTGACGAGTAGCAAACCACTTGGCGACATACAACACCATATCTCGACGACAGACTACGCCCTGGACCTCCATCCAGTCCCCATTGGCCTGCAGCCATCCTGCGACCTCTAGACGTCCCTCTCCCTCGCCCTAGACCCTCCCCACATGCCCGAAACTCTCAGGACCTTCAAATATCGTCCTATGCGACTTCCTGGACGCACATATCATGCTCTGGACGCCCAAATAGGAGCACAAGTCCGATGCCTCTCTCGCGGGAATAGGCGCCCACCGCTCCCGCTCTTGGACAGCTCATCAACAAGTACGCTCGGGTTCTCTCTGCCAATGCATGATGCAATGATGACCTCTGTTCCAACACAGCGACGCTGTTTCGAGCTGGAACACGTGCACGTCGCGCAAGACGCAACTCCGCCCCTGCGATGTGCCCTACGACGCTCTTGCACGCCCATTCTACGTCCATACACACACACAGGAGACCCCCACGTCCCCTGCAAGCCTGTGGCTCGGCGTCCAGCCGTTTCGGACTGGTTATCTGCACATCTGCTCTATGTATGTGCTCTTGCCCGCCTCACACGCTTCTAGACTAACTAAATCACGCCATTTTCGCCTATTAACAAGATATATCGCTCCTACCACACGCTACAAACACTACAAAGCCGTAAACTACGGCCAAAACGAACAACATCGCGCAGGAGACCCCTCGCGGCCTCGTCGCGCTACGGGCGCTTACGCGCGACCTGCCTCGCGCACACTCCCACCACCCGCGATCCCCGCCGACCGCCCTCGTTCCTTCGACGCCGTACTTGACGACCTGTATAGAGTGCGTCAGCGGCGTTATCTGGCGATATCGAAAGAACTGACCTACCACATTGCGCTCTGCACATCCAGCCCGCCGTGATCACCTCCGATCGCGCTCCCTCGGCATCCGATGGCAACAACGACCTAGTAACAGATGCGTTATTCGACTTATGCATGTAAATAGATGTTCCGACTCACCATACACCAGGCACGTGCGCCTGGAGACACGTGCGCATGCTGCCGATACCCTGGACACCAAACGACGTGTCCCGGCTGTACGGGACATCCGAGCACCTCAGATAAGAGCTATGGACGTCTACGCTACCACTCTACCACTCTCCTCCTCGCTAGCGCCGCATCATGACCCTCGACCGCGCCTTCAAGCCGTCCTCGCCGCACAACGCGAACCTACAACGATGGTGAGTCAACAGGCCCTTCAAACGACGAAACCGACCCATACTCACCACATTTCTGCTCGCGCACACGTCTAAAGACGTCTCCACGTCGCGTGCGGCAGGCTGGACCTGCGAATACGTCAGCAACAGCGGGGACTCGACGAGGAGTTCGCAGGTACGTACCTCATGCCCTGCGTCTTCTCCCTGCGCGTGCTGCCCTGTGCACAGCTGTCAGATATCGTTAGATACGCCAGAACAGGATCACGGCGCTGTGGAGTGGGCCCAGCAAGGCGGCGCCACAACGATGACAGCGGCGGCGACGGTGCGATGGCCGGCGAGCATGAGCGAGCTGGAGGAGAAAACAGCACTAGGCGCCACGGGCGCGCAATCACGGTGTCCGCGAGGGGCTGGGGCTGGACTCGGCTGCAACAGCCATTTCGGGCGCTCCTCGAAGCTCCCGCCCTCGATTCCGCCAGAGTGCAACGCCGCAGCCGCAGTGTCTCGACGCGTCCTGAGTGGTACCAGCCTGGGCTACACGCACACGGAGTCAGGGAGCGACACGGGCTCTGTGGCGTGCTCGAGCATCGAACTTGGCCCCAAGAGCCACTTTAGGCACCCTTCTACCCCTCCGCTCCCGATTCCGCCAGGACACGACGTCGCAGCGGCGCCAAGACGACGGTTACGGAATATTACCATCCTATGGCACCGACGAGCAAAGTTCCGTGTAGAAGCGACCTCGGCGACGACCTCGGCGGCTGAACACACACGCCTGAGCACCCAGTCTCTCCTGCGCAATTTTGCGCCAGTGCCCCTCACAATTTCCTGCTTTCGCGGAGTCACAGCCGCATCTTCTCAGCCTAACGAGTACGGTACGACTTTGAGCTCTTCGCGTGCGCAATTTCGGCACCACACAACTCTTACGACGCGCTCTGCAGATGCTTTGGCGCCCACAGCCAGATCTCGGGCTCCCGCCACCCGGCCTCTCGATTTCGCCTCAACGCGGTGTCACAGCTGTGCGACGCGCACCATATCAACATCCCACAACTCTGGAGACTGCGTACGCGCGATTTCGGGTCCCCAGTTGTCCTTCTCGCGCCTCAAGGCCGGAATCTGCTGCGACAGCCAGTGCCGGGGCCCTGGAGTCTTCTGGTAGTGATTTTGCGTGTTCGCGGCCGCAAAGCTAAGCGACGCGAGCTCTCCCAACGTTCTACGACCCTTGACAAGCTCTTCGCGCGATCTCGGCGCCCTGCGCCTCTTGCGACGACCTCGGCAGAGGTTGTGGCGCTCACAGCCTCCCGCCGCCCACCCTCTTGATTCCGCTCCAACGCGGTGTTGCAGCCGCCCGACGCGCACCCTATCGACACCCAAAGACTCTGGAGACCGCATACACGCGATCTCAACTCCCCAGCCGGCCTGCTCGCAGCCCGAGGCCATACTCCACTCCCCGGGCTTCTGACACCCTCGTTCTCGATTCTGCGACTTCGCAGCCACGTCCAGATGGCTTTACTGGACTCCCACGACGCTCAGAGAGCTCTGCGCACGATTCCGGCGTCTCACGGCACGTCCTCGATGTTCGGCGCTGGTCTGCGATGCTCTCCCCCGCGATTTCGCGATTCCGCGGAGGTGCAGCCGCATCTGCTCAGTCGCACGAGTACGGTAAGACCTTGATCTCTTCGCGCGCGATCCCGGCGTCTCACGACTCTTAAGACACGCTCGGCACATGTGCTGGCGCCCACAGCCAAATCCCGGGCTCCCGTCGTCCATCCTCTTGATTCCGCCACAACCTAGTGTCGCATCCGCGCGACGTGCACTACACTTCCACAACACCACTCTGGAGACTCTGTACGTGCGATCTGGACTCCTCAGCCGGCCTGCTCGCAGCCCGATGGAAGACTCCGCTCCCCGGGCTCCCGACACCCTCGTTCTCGATTCCGCGATGTCACGGCAGCGGGGTCATGTCTAGACGGCTCTACTGGACTTCAGCGACACTCAGCGAGCTCTGCGCGCGATTCCGGCGTCCAACAGTTCGTCCTCGACGCCCTACACTGGTCTGGGGCTGCCAGTCAGCTCCAGGGCTCCTGGTGCCCTCGCTCTCGACACTGCAATCTGGAAGCAACACGTTCACGCTCAGCCGACCCCGAGCCCTCTCTGTACGTGATCCCAGGAACCACGACCTCCTGGAGCCTCGGACCTTACGCCCACGGACGCCCACGGACACCCCTGCTCGCGATTCCGCGACTTTGCGGCTGCACAGCCGCGTCAGAACAGACTCTATGGCACGGAACGACACTGGGGTATGAGTGCGCGCGCTTTCGGCGTGCCAGGACGCCTGCGAGGGGTGCGGCCAGGTGGACTCTGCACCCACGGGAAGTCCCTCGGGCTCTGCGCGATTTCCGCGCAATTTCGCGACGACGCGCGCAGCGCATGGTTGGGCATGGTGCGCTGGACACGGTACAACACGGCGAATGTCGAATCGCGCAATTTGGAGATGATTTGAGCGTTTGGGAGGTGTTCTTGTGCAGGGGCTTCCCCGGACTTGTTTCCCCTCTGTAGCTTGTAGTTCTGCGCGTCCGGGATTGATACGTTGCCCCTGTACAGTACGAGTACACTACGATGCGATGGAATACGATGCAATGTGGACAGCGAAAGTGCGAGTATCGACCATTGTGCCAAGTCCTCCCCCTCCCCCTGCACCAAGTCCGGACCCCACACCCCCATAGAGCCCCACTCCACAGTCCTATAGAGCCCCACCTCACACGCACAATCCGTTAATCTCGTCGCAGCCGTCTTCACACGAGCACTGGCTAGGCACTGCCCGCAGACCGGGACTCCGCCAAGTCGCCGTGATGCTCGAGAACGAGATATATTGTGTCTGTCTACCCTACAAACACCGCACCCGCACCATGCAGCGAAATGCGAGCGGCTTACATTCGCTTCCAGCCACTTGTCCAGGTTGTCCTCGGGGATCTCACCCGTACCCTCGAGACACCCGCAAACGACGATGTTCACCCAGCCCTCAATGCCGCGCAGCATATTTGGCCGTGCCTCGCTCAGCGTCGTCATGAACTCCAGCGCGCCCTTGTGTACCTCGTTGTCTTCCCCGCTCACCGCCTTGTCGTCCCCGTTCTCGCCCTGTGACGCTGGCGGGAACGCGAAGCTGCTGCCCCCGCCTGGGTTTGGACGTGCGACAGTCGGAGTCGGACCCACATCGACAACTGGTAGGAGCAGCGAGGGGAGGAAGGCGATGGGCGAGGATGTGTGGGCAGAAGAGATGTGGGTTAGACGCGGCGAGCTCGGTGACGACGAGGAGGAACAGCGGGAGGCGCGCGTGTGGAAGTGACGGGACAGTGTTCAGCATTGGATACATAACTGAGAGCACTTGTGCCTGCTGTGCGAGGTCGAGCGCGGACAGGAACACGACGGACGCGTGGAGCGAGGCGATGCGGACCTGGTAGAAGCATAGTCAGCACGCAATCAATAGAATATAGACGAGTTGAGAACGGAGACATGCACCCTCTCCAAAGGTACGCAGCCCACTGCAGACTCCAGAGTCTCTGCCCCAGTCGCTGCACCATGTGAATGTCTCGTAAGTGTATCCTGTAATGGTCGATCTCGGATGTTATCACCGACATACATCGCGCAGCAGCCGTGCGCAGTGAACGAGCGGCAGCGGCCGTGCGTCGTCGAGTCGTGAGTCCGCACATTTCCTTTGTACGATGAGCATACCCACATGTGCATTTGCGACCTCTCAGATACGAAAGGGCGGGCATAGGACTCTCACACGCGTGGCGAGAAACATATGAAAGCGCCTTGCTATCTCGCAATGCCCATAGCCCAGCGCCCGGGAAACTCCAACACGGGACACTGCGCCGCACTCACGCTAGCACCTGACAGTCGATCACAGCGCCCACATTCAGTCACAGGGTGCTGCGGCCCCCGCACCCGTCGACCAGCGCGTACACAGCGCACGCGCGCGGCCAGCAAGTTCTGTGGGCAGCGGTGGTGGCAGACTCGCGGAATCTGACCTCCGAGAGTGCGAGTGTGTGCAGGAGGGATGGTGGATAGATGGTGTATGGCTGCGCTAACCTGAGGGACGCCGCTGTTTCCAAACAAAGAGGCGTACATCAGAGCATACTACACGTATAGCTGATTCCTCGGGACGCACGTACGGACATTTCCCGCGTCAGAAGTACGCACGCGACCGCGCGATAGTCCCCAGATGCTATGCGCTCGAGGGTGGCAATGGCGGGTGCGGAGAGCTGGTCGTAGAGCGCGAGACGGTTCGGCGAGGGTGGACGGGGAAAAGGAGCACATCTGGGGGCACAGTCGGATGCGTACGAGCAAGGAAATGAGAAGAACTCACGAGTTCGGTGTCGGCGGAGGTAGCGAACTGTGTGTTTGCGAGCAAATCGAGCTCCGGGGTCAACTCGAGACGGTCATTCACCGCCGTCTCTGCACTGTGGGGATGGACGCGTTCAGCGGGGGCAGGGGATCGGTGCGGAGCGGGGGACTTGCCTGGTGCGGATGGCATTGTCACCGAGGATGAGGTTGGAGAGGATCTGGGTGATCTTGGCGGTGATCTCTGGCATGCGGGACCAGGACGTCGCCTATGGCGAGCAGCTGCTGCAGAACGAGGTGGAGGCAGGAGAGAAAGAGGCAGGGACTTGGGCGGACGGAGGAGCGATTGCCCCACGTGGGTCGCATCGACTGGGCGTCTATCTCAATCGCGTCCCGGGCTTGTCTGCCAATGACGTCGTTGTGCCTCGCTCTCGCGTCCTGCCTCGCTCTCGCATCCTGCCTTGCTCTCGCGTCGTCGCTCTGCCAAGCTCAGTACTAGTCGGCGGAGGCTCGACCTCGATCTGACCGCCCTCGCTCTGCCTGCCGCTCTCCTGCGCGGCCTTGTCCGTCTTGGACGGCCGCCCACACGGATGCCTCCTCTCCCGCTGCGCTCGCTGCTCACACCCGACGGCGACCCTCTCTCGCATCCTCGTCCTTGCCAGAGCGCTTGGCACCATACAGCGCCCCTCTAGACGACACCACCACGCCTAGGACGTCCCTACTCGCCCTCTGTCGACTGCGACGGCTCTGGGACTAGCACAGGGCCCTCTCCCCGGCCCTTCTCGACGTCCAAGACGTCTGTACCCCGCTCTGGACGCCCTCTCGTGGAGCATCAAGCTCGACGCTTCCCTCGCTTGGATAGGTGCCCGCCGCTCCCTTTCTTGGGCAGCTCGCCTGCCGGTATGTCCGGGTCCTTGCTGTTGATAGAGCATTCGATCCTTACCTCTGTCCTAGCACGACGACGCCGTTTGGAGCCGCAAATCTCGTGCACATCACGCAGGACTCGACTCCACGCCCCGCGACGCGCCACGAGCGGGAAGAACCCGGCAAGTACTGGCCTCGCACACAGTGTCCCAGGATCGACTGAGAGCCCTCACGTCTGCAGGATTCCGAAAGAACGAGATTGACCTGCGCAGCCGTTCGAAAACACACATCCGGGGCTCGGCATGGTGTCCACCGCCGACTCGCGATCTGCGCTGCTGACATGGACGGCTGCGACGCTCGACGACACAGTCAGCACACACCTCGTCGGGCATGCAGCCTGCGTACAGACCCGGTGAGCACTCTGTCGCTCTCGAGGGATGTGTGCTGACTTCTGTGCTCTACATGCTCTCCTCCCCGCGCCGACGACTGCGAACACCCACCCCACGCACATACACGCATGCAAGACGATCCTACACGTCCCCCATGACGTCGCACACACCCCAAGGCCGTTGCAAGCTGCTTCTTTATGATGTTGACCCAGGTACACGCCCTGCTTATCTCCCCTCCTTGTGCACTCACTAATTTACGCCGGTTTTGTTCAGGGACAACATATTCCACTACTACGATACACTACGACCGCTAAAAGAGCATCCAGAAGCCCTACCAGCTGTGACATCCTCCGCACTGACGTCCACACACTGCGATGTCGTACTGGGCGTCTATCTGATGACCTACCTCGCGGACCCACTCGCCGGATTCCGTCCACTCTAATCGGCGCGATTCGACCGTACATCGCTCACAGGACCTATCATGGGTACCGCCCCTGTAGCCGCTTCACTACTCGGCACACCGCCAGCGAGCCCCAATCACCTCCCATCGCCGGCGGTCCTGGCCAAACTGCGTGAACAGCTGTGAGTCAACAAGTATATCGCACATTGCACCGATTTGATGTACCATATACCAGGTATTCGCATTGGGAGACGTGTATGCGCTTGCGGCACTGCTGTGTGACGACTACCGCACCCCTCGACTACTACCGCACCTATCATTTACATACAGCTACAATACGATCCCGCCCGGCGTCCTCCCACTCATCTGCTGCGCGTCATCGCACCCGCCCGCTCCGTCATGCCTGCGAGGCCTCGATTTGACCGTCCAGCGTGGATCTGCGAAGGAGGTGAGTCAGCCAGCCGTTTCCCCAGCGGAACGAGCAGAAACTGACCGTCTTCGAGCTCGTTCACGCTACGCGATGAGGTCGGTGGGCGGCGGCGGGATGGGTGGGCGGACACGTCAGCGGCGGGGCATCCACGACGCGGACCTATTTGGTACGTACCTCGCACGCCACCTCGTCTTCGGGTTGGGACTGGCAGTTCTGCCGCTGTAGGAGCTCGTTAGTCATCTGCGGGGGCTCGATGCGCGGACTTACCGCAGTAGGGACCACGGCAGGGGCAATGTGGCGAACCCTCCGCCTGCGCAGCAACGATGCGCGACGGGCAGTGGCCACAAGCAGGCGCAAGGGCGACGAGCAGAGGAGGAAGAGCAGGACAAGGGACAGAGGATGGGGACGGAGCGGTGGTGAGCCCCACATTTATATACAGGGCCCGCGTCGCTTACGGGCTGTAACACCCAGCCCGCGCCGATCGCCCGCCGTGCCCCTCGCCCGCTCATGCTCCACACCGCGGAAGTCGCGTCCAGACACCCAGCCGAGGCGACTGCACCTGTGGGCAAGTTCGGTGTTCCAGGATGCCCGGGACGCAGCCAGATAGACTTTGCGCCCACGAGCAAGGACGTGTCCGGTCTCGTCCAGACTTGGCATACAAGAGCTGCAGCGCCGATGGTCCGGGGTGTAGCGGCACGTCCTTTTGACGTCCACACGTCCCCGGACGCTACATAAAGCTCACGGACGCGTACTTCGACGCTGAACAGCGAGGGCGGGGTTTCGCGAGTTTGAGGGTAGCGGGAGGACGTGGCTGAGGGTGTAGGGGGTGCAGGGCGACACGGTGGGCAGCGTCGTAGCGGGACGGCGGCCGGGACCTCCCGCGAGCCATCCTGGGGGTATCATCAGGTAAGCGAGCCCCAACCACTGATGTATTTGGCTGTATTACTCACCTCGAGGGGCGTTGACAGTGTCGACGCGCAGAACGACAGTGTGCAAATGTACTGGACGCGTCTGGGCGCTTGGGAGGGTGTTTCGCGGCATGTACGCGCACCGGCAGTGCATTAGGGGACATGGGGGGCCGGGAACCACACCAGTGAGGTAGGCATACACGTCGAGAGCTCGTTTCGAGTCCTAGCGCTTACCTGTGAGTCTCCAGAGAATGTGGCAGGGGGCGGCGCGCAGCAGGCATGGCGGCGGGCAGTTCAGGGTCTTGGCAGATGCTTGTGAGGGTGACAGGATGTATGGGCGCACACCCAACCTCGCGCAGCCAGGTAAGCACCCACTCTACCTATCCCCATAAATCTCGAGACTCACCAGGGCGGCCGCAGTTTGTGTCGTAGTGTGGTGCGGCGTCGTCACAGCTGCCAACATGTGGCCGCCCGGGCCGGCGTGCGCACGGGGTCGTCTACAGGTGAGCATGCAGCCGTTCTGTTTGCAAACTTCGCACTCACCTGCATAACTGTCAGTAACATCGTGCACGGCGTTGACATGCAGCCAGCACAGGGGTGTGACACGACGATGCAGCCATACACGACGAGGGTGCGGGAACGGCCGGCGTACAGCCGCTGACACGGCCTACTCCGATGTGGCGCAGCTAGCCCTGACTGCCATATCAAGATGCTATCCTTTTCGCAAAAGGCCGTCGCAGGCGGTCAATATCCAGTCGTGTCATGCAGCCAGCAAGTCACCCAGCGCAGACAACCAGTTGTCGAGCACACCCAGCCAGTTGCTGAGAACACCGAGAGCGTCGCCGGAGTCCGAGAAATCCGCAAGCTGCCAGCAGCCGCCAGCCAAGACGAACTGAGGGGCGGGGCAAGACCGCGAGGTACAGGCAAGCCAGGGGAGAGCAGTTGAGATGGTGGCGGTGCGGGAGAGAAAAGCACGGCAGGTGTCGTCCTCGGACGAGTTGTGGGCAGCGCATGGGCGCCAATTTGTGCGTACCGCCTGCCTCGACTTGTACGGCTGTGCGGCGGCCTCCCAGGGCGTGCACAGCCTCGAGATCGCGGACACGCGCTCTGTGGGGCATTTGTAAGGTACGTTGTGCATTAGTTCTGCGTTTCGAAGTTCCTAACACGCCTGGCAGCGCTTCAAACTCTGCACGGCAAGATCCAGTGGCACCCCAGGGAGATCTCGACGCCCACCCACTCGATTTCGCGACCTCTTGCTGGTGCAGCAACATATGGACCCTCTCACGCTTACGGTTCGGCCCCGCGCCCCGCACGTTCACGATTACGGTGCGTCTCGGCTCCTGCACCCAGCCCAGCGATAGACTTGGCTCTCACAGACACTCCCCGAGCCCTCGAGTCTTTCCTTCTCGACATCACAACGATGCGGCTGCACAGCCGCCTCTCTCTTATTGTGTGAGTACTAGGCGACCTCTCCGGCATGACGCACACAATTCCGACACCATATGATCATTTTGAAGTGCTAGACCGTTGGACCTGGACTTGCAGCCTGCTCGCAGTGGGCGACTCACCCCCCTCCTGCTCTCGATTCCACGACCACACCGCCACACCGCCGCATATCTAGACTCATTCTGGGGAGAGGTCTCACAGAGCAGGGTTGGAATTTCGCTCCAATATTTTGGGAGCATGTACATATCATATAGGAGAGGCCCTGTGCAGAATATTGGCAAAATCAGCGGACCGGTTTTGGAGCTACAGCCCTGGGAAGCGGCTGCACCTATATTGGTGCATTGCTGCATATTCCCTTGGATTGGGGCTTTGAAAACTCGTTGAGGGGTAGCAATACACTATATTGAGGTATGTACAAAGTTTCAGAACAGTCGGATCAGAAATGGGCGCTTGGCAGGGGGGAAAAGTGCGCAGATGAGGAGGAGCATAACTTCCCAATGTTCTTTGAGGGCATATGTTCGGAATTGAGTATATACAATCTATCCAGCATACCCCCAGGTATGAGGGCACAGAATTTGGGGCGGAGCAAGCGAGCGTAGCATGAGCTATGGGGCAAACAATGTTGACTTTCCTTGAGCAGAGGGCCAACCGGGAGGGCTGTGCCAAATTGAGTATATACATCATGTTAAGGATGCATTAGACTGTGCCTGTGCAAAGAATCAGGATATGAATATGGTTGCCGGGGGTTTGACGAGGGCAACATGTCGCCC